TCTGGAAGACGAAGTCTAAGGTCCGGCGGGCGGGGTAGTGAACACATCGTCGTCCGAAAAGAAAGGATAGCCTTCGTCCTTGTACTCTGGGTCCGGGGAACCAGCTTCTCGTTCAGGGAGTTGCGACGGGAGACACGGTAACGAACGCCGACACCGTGGGCGGAGACAAAGTTGGGCGGGGGCGTGGACTCGAAGGTCGTTCCACACGATGACGATTTCGTGGAGAGAGGGAATTACGCTGTCTGTGAGGAGGTGGAGCGTCTGGTTCAGTTCATCGGGACGCCGGTACGTCTGAATGGCAATGCTGCAGGAGGGCGCGATGTCAGTGAGTGGACTGGTAAGCGACGGCGGACGAGGTGAGACATACGTGAATTTGTCATCCATGAGGCCCGTGTATTTGGATTGCGACTCGTCCCACAGGTTGAGCGATGCCACCTTGTCGCGACCGGCGCACTGAGGACGCAGGACGCCATTGTCGCTGTTGGAGGAAGAGCTCTTCTGGGCATCGGCGGTGCCGGTGTTGACGTGGGGAAGGTGCACTTCAGGGCCCCACGAATTGAAGGAAAAGAGAAGAAGGAGACTGGTGGCGAGGGCGAGGGCGAAGAGGACGTGCCGCTTGGTGAGCCACTGGGGGAGGTTCTTCAGGACCGAGGTCGTCGTGGTGCCATCGGACTTGTACATGGCGGGCATCAAATGTCGGGGATTCCCTGGACGGGCGGAGGTGGGGAGAAAGAGAGTGTGGTCGGGGTGCCCGGCGATGGAGAGGGTGCTCCAACAACGTGTCGCGATGTCGACGTCGATATCGTTGTCGCGGAGAAGAGGGTTGAAAGAAGGCAAGTCGTCAGTTGAGAGTGAATCCAGCCACTGTCCCTTTCGTCCTGTCCTGCGGCTTGAACCAGGCTTGGTGTCTCGGTGCAAGTGGGTTTGAGATGATGCCAGGGCAGGGGGGCGGCAGGTCAGTCAAATAAGGCCTGGCCGTCCAGTCTTGAGAATTGATGGCGATGGGGGTCGAGGTACTTGGCCACGGGCGGGTCTAGAGCCTGTCTAGGGCGCTTTACCGAGGAAGGGTCTCCGGGTATGAAGTATCGAGCTGAGAGCGAAAAACAGGTGGTTGCGGACAGGGTGAAATGAAGAGCAGCAGGGGAGAGAATTCTTTTTACCTAACGAGAATCCCACTGAGGAAATGTCGTGCTCATAGTGTGCACACAGCCCCCCCAAAACGGAAACCTGAGTCGACGATGGGAGGAGCATGACAGGATTTACACCGGGCTGTTCTCAGGGGGAATGGGCTGGATGAGCGGGATTGGCATGAAGGGGCAAGCATGGGGAGCCAACTGTCATTCTTCATTTGACGACGCGCTCCAGACATTTCTGGGGGGGCGCGGATGCGTGGGCTTGCATTCCTTCCCCTGGGAGGGGCGTAGAGGCTTGCTGTTTGAGGCTCACGCTCCCTCTGACTTTTCTCTCTAATGCGCACACACACACACACAATCCCACCTCTCTCTCTCTGGCACACGCGCTTTTGCTTGGCTCAGAAAAAAATGTTTGGTAGTCTGCCAAGTGGGCCGAGGGAGGTCGATCAGAGGGGCAGGCTGCTCCGGGTTTATTGCTGGTCATTTTTCTGTCACATTGCATCTAGGTTGAGCGTGACATGCTGGCTAGTCGAAGCTTGTTGACATGATGACTGTTGGTGCTTGTTTGGGTCGGTTGGGGGTCGGGGGGCCATGGCCAAAGGAATTGGTCTGGGGTATTCTTGGCCTGAACGACTGAGAACGTCGCACGCATGTCTTGCAAGGGAGGGTTGGGTGGAGGGACGCTGACGCCAGCGCTGATGGCAGGCCTCTGCACAGCGGCTGGGGTTCCAGAATCAATCTCCTCGCTTGGGGAATGGGGCTGCTGCTTACTGGAACTCGAGGCTTGTCAAGGCTTGGTATATACCTGACTACCTTGGTATCTAGGTACCTACCTACCTAGGTGCCCGAGGTAGAGTACATACTTTTGTGCACCTTTGGCACCTGTCATGTACGTACCTACCCTCGTACTAAGGCATGGGAAGGTACGACTCTACGCGATCGCCCCCGTCGATCGCGGTAGCGGCCATATTCATGTGGGGAGCGCCTCCTGCCCACCAGGCCACCTAGGCTGAGGATGACTTCCATCGTGGTGACGCCTCGAA